AGATTTATATTTTCAGTAATTTAGTGGAAGTGAATCTATTTCTCAATATTTATTTAGGATTCCTATTCATAGTGTAGGAATTCCTGAGCTGTGTACTTTTCTACAACCTTAAACAATGCTGTCATGAACACCATTTTAAATATATTTATATACTGATACAAGTACTTTTACAGAAACTTCCCAGAAGGTGGATTTGATCAAAGAGACTAAAAAGTAAACAGCATTTTGTTCAAACATTGCCATACTCCTTTCCAAATATATGCTACCTTTTTTTTTCCCTCTTACTGAGTATCAGTATCCACTTTTTGCAGATAACTACTGGGTACCATTACAGTAATATATTTAAGTTTGCACAGTAAGAGTAGGTACATAGCAAATTATTATCATTTAACTTGTTTTTCAAATTATAATGAGGTTAAAATATCTAATTAAAATTTTGACAATATTTATTAATTTTTCTTTTAGATCCTTTGCTTGTTTTTCTCTTTTGGTGTTTGGCTTTCTCTTTGTGATGAACCAAATCTTCTCATCTATTCTGGTAATATTTTATGTCTCTCTGTTCAACTTTTTATCTCATTTTTGTCTTCATTGTATGCTTTATTATTTTATTAAGTACTTCTGTATTCTAAAGTGGATAGATACTCATTTCCCATTTGCACATGGAAATAGGCCTGTGGTATATTTTTCTTCGATCCAGATGTAAAGTGAAAATTATATTCCTTTGAACTGGACTGAACTAGACAATTAGAGGTGAGAGGTTTAAGATGGTCAGGGTGTAAGACTTTTGACAATAAATGAATGTGCATCTAGCTTTGTCCTTCAGTGGCACTGTACTTAGAGAGGTTTATCAGCCTTCATTGTTCTAACTGTGCAATCTCCCAACCAAAACCTTATTCTAGACTAGGATTTCTCTATTCGCACCTCCTCCTTCTCTGACCATTTGACATTTTCTGTACAATACCATAATTATGATAAAGGTGAAATAGTGAGCATGGATGTTTGGAGGCACAGCACCATGATAAATATACTTGACTTAATTTAGGTGGCTAAAAATTGCTGCAAGTATGACACGTAGTTCCAGACATTCCACAAAGGGAGTTAAGGGACCAGAAAGTGATTTTGCTCCCTAGAAACTAGGAATTACTCAAGTTTTTCATACATAAAAGCTGAGGCTACCTTCTTTTTCCCTTCCTTGAAAACCACATATCTTGCTTACATTTGTCAAATTTCACTGGAAATTATTTTTACTGGGATGAGGAAAATTGTATTTAATTTTTAAAAAATCCTATAGAGCATCCATGCCGACCCTCCACCCACTGCCACCAGTGACCTTCCTAGAAACAGGCATTTAATTTTGCAGCCAAACAGTCCTTTTCACCTCTGTCAAAGGAGATGGTAAGTGGCACCCCATCTTTCATTTGGTGCCAATGTTCTTCCTTTTTTTTTTTTTTCAAATTAGTGTTTGGTGTGTCCTTGATAAATGTTATGCTGGTATCACTTATAAGCCATTTCTTCAAACATCATTTACAAATTCAGGCATTAATTCTGCATTGGGCTAAATATTCAAAAGACCAATAAAATTATTCAAGCAAAGGGGAAGAGAGTCCCAATGTTGTTTTTCAGTGTACACAGGAGTACACACACATACTCACTTACTCTCTCTCTCTCCCTGGTACTGACCTAGTTTCTAAGTCTCTGTGAGTGACTATTGTTTTTAAAGATATATATAGTTCTGAAAGTTTCACCAGTCCCTCGTATTTCCTTTTCTCATGCTCAAATTCCCTCCAAAACATGAGTGTAATCTATCGAAATTCAAACAGCTCACTGATCACCAGATTTTGATTGTTTTATTAACTATCACTTCAAAGAGGTTCAAAATTTCTGCCACCTTCCAAATGGCTTCCAATTTGCTTTCGATTCCTCACATATGTGGGTTCAAAAGCATTCCACGGTTGGCCAGGGGCAGTAGCTCATACCGGTAATCCCAGCACTTTGGTAGGCCAAGATGGGTGGATCACCTGAGGACAGGAGTTCAAGACGAGCCTGGTCAACATGGTACAAACCCTGTCTCTACTAAAAATACAAAAATTATCTGGGTGTGGTGGGACACGCCTGTGATCCCAGCTACACAGGAGGTTGAGGCACAAGAATCACTTGAACCCAGGAGGCGGAGGTTGCATGGAGCCAAGATCATGCCATTACACTCCAGCCTGGGAAACAGAGTGAGACTCTTTCTCAAAACAAACAAACAAAAATATTCCAAGGTCTCTGTAGGATTTGATGCATTGACAGAATCCAATGTATCCTTCTTTTTTCCATGTCATCCGCCTTCCTTCTTTCCTCACCTCATCTCAGCGCTCCTCTGACTCTATTTCTACATAAAATGGTAATTCGTCTCCACTTGTCTTTCCCTCCAACTCAATTAATGTCTATCCTGATAACCACCATTTTTGCTTCCTCTCTTTCTTGTATTCTTCAAACCCATGAACAGTTTCTTCTTTGTACACATTCTCTAATCTTCCTATGGCCCGTCTTTGACATCCCAATACCCTTTGATATGCTTAGATACTTATTAGCAATGTAGGAAACACTGATAGATTTTAGAAGTGACATGGAATAGAAGAAACAGAGTATCAAGGTGTTGGGATGAGGTTCAGCAACAGAATCTCCATACAGAGACAGTAATATCATTTGTTTTGACACCTTAAGGTGAGGAGCATGTACAAGTCCAAAAGTTCTGAGTGTTTTAAACTTACAAATAAAAAAATACATAATTTATTAACCTGTTTATTCTCTAATCAATAATTTAGTTGGCTTTGATCTGATGTTACAACTTCAGAGATTTATCTTTGCTCTATAAGTAACGTCCACTTAAAAAAAATCACTACTGTGTAATAACGTATTTGTATTATAATATTGTACTTATGCAGAAAACAGCCTGATTAAGTAGGAATTGGTCTATTCAATAAAATTTACTTGAAAGATGACAGCATTGCTTAACTAATAATAAAAATTTTATAGACCACATTAATTATAATCTTGGGTCTTAGGTATTTTTAATATAAAAGTTATTTTTCCATGTGCATAGCAAAGTCGTAGTCAAATATTTATTTTTCATGGAAAGAAACAAATTATTCAACAAAAAGGATATACAATTTTGGAATAAGCTATTTGCTTCTTAACTCCTTTCACATCAATACAAAATAATCCAGATCTTAACCAGGGCTGGCCACAAAGTGGTCTGGAGCAGAGATCAGAAAATTATGGTCCATGGGCTAAATTCAGTTCATAGTCTGTTTTTGCAAAGAAACATTTGTTGTATCACAGCTCTGCTCACACAACCGTGTATTTTCTGCNAGGAGGCGGTGCAGAGTTAAAAGAATTTACCACGATAGTTGTAGATAAAGACAGGCAGATTTATTAGTGAAAGTAGGAAAATATGTTGCAAGGAGGCAATGAGCAGGCCAGCAGAAGAGAAGCTGACTTCCGGGAAACAAAGGCTTGCTGGAGATTTTATAGAATAGTGTTTATACTGTATGAGAGCTTGTACAGTACTGATAAGCCAAGGTTACAATGAGGTAACTTGCAGGTATCTGTTGATAATTTTCATGCAGGAGGGCTACATGTTCTGGACCATGAAGAAAGGCAGATTTATAGCTCATCTTCATTTTCCTTTTGCTTTCCCTAGTCCCACCAGCTTGACTAATTTTCCCTAATTAGGGCACAAAAATATTGTCTGTACAAAAAAAGGAAAATCATATTGACTAAGCTCTTGATAAAAACAAAACAAAACAATAAATTAGAATGAACTATACTAAAAATATTAGCAGGAAACTAGGTAGGAGGACCATAAAAGCATGTTCTGTTTCTTGTGTATTTTAGGATGAACGTTAAGTTACTGATCAAATTTAGACTTCAAGATAAATGTTAAGGTCAACAATCAATAAAAATAGAAATACACTGCAAAGTTTCTAAAACCTTTTTGGTAACTTGGGTAGAGAGAAAAATTAACCAAGAGAAAAATAGTAATTGATCTGAAGGTGGCAATAAAGGAAAGCAAAAGAAACATAAAACAAACTGGAAAAAATCAGAGCACATAATAAGGTACTAGAAATAAATACAGTGAAAAGAGATTGTCAGATTGTGTGCTTTTTAAAAGAAAGGTAAGCATTCATTACAAGAGACAAACCAAAAACAAAGTATACTAAAAGGCAAAAGGTTGCAATCAAAATATAGAAAAATACCTGCAAATGGTTGAAATCAAAATATAGAATAAAACTATAATGTAAAGCCAAAGCTAAAATATCTATAGTGTAAAGCTAAAACTAAAAGCATATGTGTGTGTGTGTGTATACACATACACATGGATATATATATGTGTGTGTATACATGTATATATATATATATCACATATATATGTGTGTATATACATGTATATATATATATCACATATATATGTGTGTGTGTATGTATATATATATATATATATATATATATATATATATATATATATAAAAATTAGTAAGATTCAATTCACCCTATCTTCTTTTACTAACAGATACTGCAGAAGAAATGAACAAATCCATCATTTTGGAGAGTTCAAAAGATCTTTTTAATTAATAATACAGTCAGGTAAGAAGTAAAAAGACTGGAAGTCTTGAAAAAGTATTAATAAGCTTGATCTGTGAACATGTGAAGAAACTTGTAATTACAGAAAATTTGTATTTGTCTTCAGTACTTTTGAGGTAGTTTTTAAAAATGAGAAAATCATTAGATCTTAAGATATATTTTGTTTATCTCTTTCTATTTGAAGGATACAAGGCTACTGCTATTTTATCCTGTCTTGATCTGATTTTAATATTTTTTTCCTCTGGGTATCTGCAGTAAATGTATGCTCAAAAACTATTTCTTCCAAACCATAAGATTTCAAATACAAATCTCTGCATGTATCAGTATATTTGAATATGCATCATTTTCTGGAGGAATGACAAGACATTTACCTTGAATTAAAGTGATATTTCTCAGTGTCTGAGAATGTTCCCAGTCTTTCAGTCTGAGATCATTAGTGATGTTATTCAGTACTTTCACTTCTCCTCTTATTTCCTGTTCCAAATGCACTTGTTCTTCTTTCATAGCCATGATTTCTGCTGATACATTGTAAACACGCCTCTCTAATTTACTGATTTCCTGTAAAACATAAGTGAGCATTCACAACCTTTGCTACATATATAATTATCAAATATGAAAGTTCAAGAAACCCTAGGAGTTCAGGTTTTTAAAAATATATTACAGGAATTTTATGGAATAAGAATACAGAAATTAGAAAACCTTTTAAAGTAGTAATTCTATAATTGTAAAACATTTCTTCTTTTGACCGAATGGCTAAATGTTTACCATCACAACCCCCTTCAAAGAATCCATTTAACGTATTTAAGATATGTTTCTATTCCCATATATATAGACGTCAAAATCCTATCAATAGAATAAACATCATATGGTTTTAATTTATCTGAAGTATAATGTCTTCATACTGTAGAGTGACAACATATTCCAATTCCATAAATTTGATGGATTTATATGGGAAACTGTTTTATGGTAATAAGCAAAGCTTAATGTCATAATCCTCAGTGGTGATGAACATTGACAATAGATTTTCATACTCAATAAAACCTCAAACTAGCATATTAACAGTGCTTTACTTTCAGTTTGCATTGCCTCTGTATTTGAGGCATCATTAGTGTTTTGTGTTTTCAAATACATATACATTTTGTATATATTTATATATATACATTCATATACTTACAGTTTTAAAAAGAGAGGATCTTCCTATAGGCTCGACTATGCTTTTGTATTTTACTTAATAATATATTAAGAATATTTACCTACTAAAATACTTTAGAGATTTATATTTTCAGTAATTTAGTGGAAGTGAATCTATTTCTCAATATTTATTTAGGATTCCTATTCATAGTGTAGGAATTCCTGAGCTGTGTACTTTTCTACAACCTTAAACAATGCTGTCATGAACACCATTTTAAATATATTTATATACTGATACAAGTACTTTTACAGAAACTTCCCAGAAGGTGGATTTGATCAAAGAGACTAAAAAGTAAACAGCATTTTGTTCAAACATTGCCATACTCCTTTCCAAATATATGCTACCTTTTTTTTTCCCTCTTACTGAGTATCAGTATCCACTTTTTGCAGATAACTACTGGGTACCATTACAGTAATATATTTAAGTTTGCACAGTAAGAGTAGGTACATAGCAAATTATTATCATTTAACTTGTTTTTCAAATTATAATGAGGTTAAAATATCTAATTAAAATTTTGACAATATTTATTAATTTTTCTTTTAGATCCTTTGCTTGTTTTTCTCTTTTGGTGTTTGGCTTTCTCTTTGTGATGAACCAAATCTTCTCATCTATTCTGGTAATATTTTATGTCTCTCTGTTCAACTTTTTATCTCATTTTTGTCTTCATTGTATGCTTTATTATTTTATTAAGTACTTCTGTATTCTAAAGTGGATAGATACTCATTTCCCATTTGCACATGGAAATAGGCCTGTGGTATATTTTTCTTCGATCCAGATGTAAAGTGAAAATTATATTCCTTTGAACTGGACTGAACTAGACAATTAGAGGTGAGAGGTTTAAGATGGTCAGGGTGTAAGACTTTTGACAATAAATGAATGTGCATCTAGCTTTGTCCTTCAGTGGCACTGTACTTAGAGAGGTTTATCAGCCTTCATTGTTCTAACTGTGCAATCTCCCAACCAAAACCTTATTCTAGACTAGGATTTCTCTATTCGCACCTCCTCCTTCTCTGACCATTTGACATTTTCTGTACAATACCATAATTATGATAAAGGTGAAATAGTGAGCATGGATGTTTGGAGGCACAGCACCATGATAAATATACTTGACTTAATTTAGGTGGCTAAAAATTGCTGCAAGTATGACACGTAGTTCCAGACATTCCACAAAAGGAGTTAAGGGACCAGAAAGTGATTTTGCTCCCTAGAAACTAGGAATTACTCAAGTTTTTCATACATAAAAGCTGAGGCTACCTTCTTTTTCCCTTCCTTGAAAACCACATATCTTGCTTACATTTGTCAAATTTCACTGGAAATTATTTTTACTGGGATGAGGAAAATTGTATTTAATTTTTAAAAAATCCTATAGAGCATCCATGCCGACCCTCCACCCACTGCCACCAGTGACCTTCCTAGAAACAGGCATTTAATTTTGCAGCCAAACAGTCCTTTTCACCTCTGTCAAAGGAGATGGTAAGTGGCACCCCATCTTTCATTTGGTGCCAATGTTCTTCCTTTTTTTTTTTTTTCAAATTAGTGTTTGGTGTGTCCTTGATAAATGTTATGCTGGTATCACTTATAAGCCATTTCTTCAAACATCATTTACAAATTCAGGCATTAATTCTGCATTGGGCTAAATATTCAAAAGACCAATAAAATTATTCAAGCAAAGGGGAAGAGAGTCCCAATGTTGTTTTTCAGTGTACACAGGAGTACACACACATACTCACTTACTCTCTCTCTCTCCCTGGTACTGACCTAGTTTCTAAGTCTCTGTGAGTGACTATTGTTTTTAAAGATATATATAGTTCTGAAAGTTTCACCAGTCCCTCGTATTTCCTTTTCTCATGCTCAAATTCCCTCCAAAACATGAGTGTAATCTATCGAAATTCAAACAGCTCACTGATCACCAGATTTTGATTGTTTAATTAACTATCACTTCAAAGAGGTTCAAAATTTCTGCCACCTTCCAAATGGCTTCCAATTTGCTTTCGATTCCTCACATATGTGGGTTCAAAAGCATTCCACGGTTGGCCAGGGGCAGTAGCTCATACCGGTAATCCCAGCACTTTGGTAGGCCAAGATGGGTGGATCACCTGAGGACAGGAGTTCAAGACGAGCCTGGTCAACATGGTACAAACCCTGTCTCTACTAAAAATACAAAAATTATCTGGGTGTGGTGGGACACGCCTGTGATCCCAGCTACACAGGAGGTTGAGGCACAAGAATCACTTGAACCCAGGAGGCGGAGGTTGCATGGAGCCAAGATCATGCCATTACACTCCAGCCTGGGAAACAGAGTGAGACTCTTTCTCAAAACAAACAAACAAAAATATTCCAAGGTCTCTGTAGGATTTGATGCATTGACAGAATCCAATGTATCCTTCTTTTTTCCATGTCATCCGCCTTCCTTCTTTCCTCACCTCATCTCAGCGCTCCTCTGACTCTATTTCTACATAAAATGGTAATTCGTCTCCACTTGTCTTTCCCTCCAACTCAATTAATGTCTATCCTGATAACCACCATTTTTGCTTCCTCTCTTTCTTGTATTCTTCAAACCCATGAACAGTTTCTTCTTTGTACACATTCTCTAATCTTCCTATGGCCCGTCTTTGACATCCCAATACCCTTTGATATGCTTAGATACTTATTAGCAATGTAGGAAACACTGATAGATTTTAGAAGTGACATGGAATAGAAGAAACAGAGTATCAAGGTGTTGGGATGAGGTTCAGCAACAGAATCTCCATACAGAGACAGTAATATCATTTGTTTTGACACCTTAAGGTGAGGAGCATGTACAAGTCCAAAAGTTCTGAGTGTTTTAAACTTACAAATAAAAAAATACATAATTTATTAACCTGTTTATTCTCTAATCAATAATTTAGTTGGCTTTGATCTGATGTTACAACTTCAGAGATTTATCTTTGCTCTATAAGTAACGTCCACTTAAAAAAAATCACTACTGTGTAATAACGTATTTGTATTATAATATTGTACTTATGCAGAAAACAGCCTGATTAAGTAGGAATTGGTCTATTCAATAAAATTTACTTGAAAGATGACAGCATTGCTTAACTAATAATAAAAATTTTATAGACCACATTAATTATAATCTTGGGTCTTAGGTATTTTTAATATAAAAGTTATTTTTCCATGTGCATAGCAAAGTCGTAGTCAAATATTTATTTTTCATGGAAAGAAACAAATTATTCAACAAAAAGGATATACAATTTTGGAATAAGCTATTTGCTTCTTAACTCCTTTCACATCAATACAAAATAATCCAGATCTTAACCAGGGCTGGCCACAAAGTGGTCTGGAGCAGAGATCAGAAAATTATGGTCCATGGGCTAAATTCAGTTCATAGTCTGTTTTTGCAAAGAAACATTTGTTGTATCACAGCTCTGCTCACACAACCGTGTATTTTCTGCACCTGCTTTTGCACTACAATGGCAGCAATGAGTAGTGACAACAGAATCCATATGATCCTAAAAGCCTAAAATGTTTCCATCTGGCCTTTTACAATGAAACTCTGCCAACAATTGGTTTAGAGTGGTGTTGCAATAATGAAAGGGATATCAGATGATTCTACAGACTGATTGTGATGGTGCTTTTTTCGCGGGCTTCTTGCTGTTTATTTAATATCATACCTTGCAAAGAAATAGAAAACTTAATGTGTATTTGATCTCATGATGATAATGAATATACAGATATTCATATGATATTCATATCATATGATATATTCATATCATATGATAATGAATATACATTACTGTCCTATGATGACTCCATGATGATAATATGTACACAATCAAAATTTAATTCTTCATAGTTGTTTATACACATAACATCATATATATACCTGTTGGGAGTGGCAAAATAAATTATTTTAAAATTTAGATGGTTTTAGGATATTCATATAAAATAAAAGGTTTCCATTCCTTTGATGATGAAGAAATACTGGGTGTGTTGCAAAATTCGCAAGTATGGAGTGTTCACTTCTCAAGATCTGCTAAGATAATCTAAAAATTACGATTGGTTTAGGCAGTCTAATAAGACACTTTAACAGTATTTATAGAATATATAAAGGGAGTCTATATTCAAAGGGAAAAAAACTCCCCCTTTTTCTAAGAGTTTGGAAAAGGAAATCCATTTCAAATCCTTTAATACTCATTCAAAATCTTTTGATAAGTTCACCAAAGAAATCAGGGTAAACAGGATGATAAAACAGGGTTTGCAACTTTTGCTTTCCTTACCGCCTAAGGAGAAAAGATCTGGATGGATTCAATTTCAGCATATGAACTTGTAGTACAAAAACTCTTACCTCTTGTTGCTTAAAGGTACTCTCTTGCATTTTTCCATTCAGCTTTTCTATGTTGAACTGCAAATCAAGCAATGTGGTATTCAAACTTATTAAGGACTTGGAGATTTCATCTATTGCATTCTCATGTCCCTGGACTGAGGAAAACAAGGTACGTAGCTGGAGAAGAACGTCATTAAATCTTTGATCAACTATCAGGCTGAAATTTTGGAAATGCTCTGATTCTACGAGGTTGGCTTCTACATCTGAAATATGTTGGATTCTCCTCTCCATGTTGCTCATGTGTTCCACAAAGAGTTCTTGAAATCTCATTTCCTCTTCACTGTCATTTCCTTTTCCCATAAGATTTTGTGTTGTATCATTTACATTAGTTGAACCAACTGAGCAATTCTTCGTTTCCCACTTTAGGAGTTGAGCTGTATATTTAAGTAAAAATAAACCAGTCATGGCCTGATACTTAAACGCATACACTATCTCATCCCATATTGTTCCATTCTGTTCATTTTATTCTATTCCATTCCATTCCAACATTTTAGTATTTGTTTTAAATCTACGACATGTGAACTACAATAAGTATTTTGCTGAGAAGCATACATTCTCCCTTTCCTATTTTACATTAAGATTTATTACAGAGTTACATCATGCTTTCTGAATTGCTGCTTATCTGAATCTTCTTGGCCACCGATTTTGGCTTTTCCAAATCAAACAAATTCTATAGATGATGAAAGGCAATGTATCTATGAAACTGTGGTTAGAACATAACAGACTAACGCTTACTACAGTTTCTAAAGTAAGCATGTTGAATATATTAACGATGCTGCTGACGATCACGATGACCACAAAAGCAACGTGTGGTAAAATAGTGATGTCATGCACAGCATGGATAAATTGTTGGTTTATCTTCTTCATTCTTTCACTTAAGCTACCAGAGAAATGTCACTTTCACTTAACACAGACCTAATTCACAGTAGGAGGAGCAGGAAATTGGACAGATACATTTTTTCTCTTTAAAAAGGTACTATTTTTATAGGACTCCTTTTAACTATTGTAAAATACATATTTACAGCAGAAAATTTAGAAAAGGAAAAATAATTTACCATGAATCTCACTGTCCTAGCTTAAACTACAACATTTTGGTGTATGTGTCTCAACCCTGGTTCTGTTTCTATTATCATATTATTATCTTACAATATAACATTTGTATACAATCTGGAAACCACTTCTTAATTTAATGTTCTATCATAAGTACTTTTTCATATTACTAATGTTTAATACTGTTCTATGAAAGTAATTTAATAAATTCCATTGTATTCTATGTATAGATCTGTCAGATTTATTTAAAAAACAACTGCATTTAGTTTGCCTCTGTTTTCAGTAATATAGTCAATGTTTGGATGAACAATCTTGTGATTAATTATTTCCCAAAGGAAAAAAATTATATTTCAAAATAGTATTTTAGGAACATACTGAGCTGCTGACAGATATCCCTAAATGGGCATATGTTCTCTAAACAAGCTAATTATCATTCTGAAATAATTTAGAGTAATATGTTTTATAGTTAAAAAAATTAAAAGGCATAAACATTAACTTTTTATACAAAGATAATGCATAATTATAGACAATGAGGAAAACGTTAAACACAATCATCATTCAGTGATGGCTAAGATTTTTTATTTTTCTGTAACTCTATGTACCTATTTATACCTTTTATCAACATTTATATTAGTCATATTCATATTAGATTGGATGTAAAAGATTTTCCACATTTGACAATTATGGAACACTAAAAAGAATAATTTCATATGGCTCAAAAATATATGCAGCTCCACCTATCAATTTTCTTAGTAAAAATGATAAGGTGACAGCGCCAGTTTTTTAGATTTTTGAGGATTAAACAACATATGAAAAACTTTTAGTTCTACCCTAACTCAAGGATTCTGTTCCATAAATGAAAGCTTGGTGTTTTCATAGGATCTAGCTCCCTGATTCTAGAATCTTCCTACACTCCTCCATTACCAACTAGGTTACTCTGGGCAAGTTAACCAACCCTCTCTTGGCTTTGGTTTTCTCAATTTGTAAAAGTAACAATGACCTCAATAGTGGTGCTGAGCACAAAAGAAATAGGCATATCTATTCTTCTAAACAGCCTTATATGTGAGAGATATTATCTCAGTTATAGAGTCCACTGTATTTTTTATCTTTACTTAAAGAGGCTGTTTGATGAGGGTTACTACTGTAGCTATCATTACATTAGGAATGTTAAATATGTAATTAAACTACAATTCTAATTAAATACATAATTAAATTCTAATTTCAAAAAATGCATGATACCATATTTTTCCTGGTTGTATTAATTTAATATTAGCTAATTTGATATAACAAAATATGTGTGACAATATTTTCATGTGATCTATAATAGAGATTGTATATTATTCTATATTTTTTAATTTATCAATAACTTGGACATACAAGTATATTTAACTGCATCTCATCACATTATATTCACTGTGGGGAGCAAGTATGGGGTTGACAGCCTCATCCATGCATTCATTAATTCTATAGTTTATTTATTACATACTTACTATGTGTAAGGCATTGTTTGAGTAACTCTGGGGATAAAAGAACAGTTGGGAATGAACTTTGACAACAATCAGAAGTCAAAATAAACAATTTTAACAAAAATTACTTCAAAATTTTCTTCTAACATGTAGAAACGGAAATACCATTTGAACCAGCAATCCCATTACTGGGTACATACCCAAAGCATTATAAATCATTCTATTATAAAGATACATACACACATATGTTCATTGTGGCAGTGTTTACTAGAGCAAAGACTTGGAACCAACCCAAATACCCATCGATAGTGGACTAGATAAAGAAAATGTGGCACATATACGCCATGGAATATTATGCAGCCTTAAAAAAGGATGAGGTCATGTCCTTTGCAGGGAAATGGATGAATCTGGAAACCATCATTCTCAGCAAACTGACACAAGAACAGAAAACCAAATACCACACGTTCTCACTCATAAGTGGGTACTAAACAATGAGAACACATGAACACGGGGAGGGGAACATCACACACTGGGGTCTTTTGGGGGTTGGGGAGATTGGGGAGGGATAATATTAGAAGAAATACCTGATGTAGGTGACAGGGGGATGGAGGCAGCAAACCACCATGGCATCTGTATACCTATGTAACAATCCTGCAAGATCTGCAGATGTACCCCAGAACTTAAAGTATAATAACAAAAAAAAATTCCTCTAACATTGTCCTTGTTTGATTATTATTTCCTTTGAAATAGCAGTTAAGAATTTGGATTCTAGAACAGAACTGCCTGGGTTAGCAATTCAGGCGCTGCCCTTTATCAACTATGGCATCGAACAAATTACTTAATCTGTCATTGCTTCTATTTCACCATCTGTATAAATGGGATACTAATAGTCAGCGTCCAGATAATTAAATGAACTCTATGTAAAATACTTAGACCACTTACTGGCACATAATAAGTACTTGATAAGTTTCAGGTTTTTGCTATTATTAATATTTGGATTCAATATGTGTGATTCAAGTACCTATATGTCCAATGCTGATTAACTATGGGGAAGTAGCATTGTGATGAAAAACTTTTTCTGGAGTTGGATGTTCCCATGAGCGCAGTCATCTCTGTGCTTTATTTTACTACGCACATGGCTCTGATTGCTCAACCATATAATTTTACTTTCACTGGAAATAAATTTTATTTTATATCAGTAAAGCAAATATTTTTCACAATATGGAAAGGGAAGACCCAATTTGACTAAAGTCATGTGACCAACTATTTTTAATTTTGACAACGGGTTAAACATGAGTTGACAGTAAGTGCTACATTTTGTTTATAGATCTAAAAACACAAATTGCCTGTTTCATCCAACCGTGAGTGAAAACTAATTTTCCTTCAGAATGTTAACTTTTTATCATATATCTAGGTAAAGAATGCTAGGGTTTATATTTTCAAAAGTTCACTTATTTTTATTGGAGAGATGGCATTTAGTGACTTTTCTATTCCACATATGAAAGGAGACAGACTTTTTTAAAAACCTAAGGACAGGGTTATATCTGATTCTAAAGATCATATCTGCTCTTTCATGTTGGAATTATCTTTTTCCACCCCAATGTATATTGTTTTCAGCTAAAGAATTTTTACTGTTTCAGTAACAATTATACATATATATACATATATATATATACAATTGTTATAAATATACATATATGTATATATACATATAAATTTTTGATTTTATCTTATTGTTCTGACACAATATTATGTGGTTACACTCTGATAGTGTTTCAGCAGCTTCTTTAAGAAAAGGTAGTAAATGGAATAAACCTAATAATTAAGAAAATAGCTCTCAATATATAATTCACTTCATATTTAGAGTTTTATGTACAATATTCTATTTTACCCATCAATTCATATTTGCCAAACTTCTATCATTTTAGGGATATATTTTGTCTACATTTGTAATTTTTATGCCAAGTAGAGATACATATTGCCTTTTAGTTTCTTTTTGAAAATATACTGATCTACAAACTTAACTAAAGTTGTAAGTAGATTGTCAATTGTTTATTGTTAATACATGATAAACACAGCAAGGTCTTTTCCAAATTTTGGTGAACCTGATACTGATGTGAACTTACACAATTGGAACATTCTTAGCGTCTCATCAATTTTAGTATGTACCTATTGTAGTTTTAGTAAACAAACTACTTCAGATCAACCATTGTCAACTTCAGAACAACTGTGTGAACTGGTAGTATTTTCTAATAGCTCAGGGACTTTGAACTTGGTTAGACCTTGAATTCTTTTCTGACTCCTGCTTGTGCTCTCCATGAGCCTATGAGAAGCAGTAGTCCCTGGTGTTGGTTCTGCAGGCAGTGGTTTGTATAAAATTGACGAAATATACCCAAATTCTAATTGGTTTATGGCTAACAACCCCAACAATGAAGCATCCTTTAGTTATGCCTTTCAAATTATAGATAAGCATAAACATAAACAAACATATAGATAACCTTGATTTACTAGATAATTGTTTAATGCCAAACATGTCAGCTCCTTTTACTCAGACAGCAGTAGTTTGGTTGGTTGGTTTGGTTGTTATGGTTGGATTTTTGTTTTAGTTTATTTTTAATGGCCAAAAAGAAGTTAACTGTTACCTGTGGAAAATATTTTCCCGTGGTGACTTTGTTTTTTGTTTTGTTTTTTATGGTTGTATGTTGTTTTATAAAAACTTAATTAAACTGGAAGACAACAGACCCGAGGATAGGGTTCAGAAGTCTGGGATGGGAACTCTAGCTCCAACACTGAGCTGTCTCAATTTTCTTATGTGGATAATGAGAATAATTATAGCATCTGTATGGAGGGTAAATTTAAGGGTGTATTATTGCTTTTATTATTTCTTTCTTAGTGAAATTTTCACTGTGTCTTGGAATACTTCCTTAAACTGCTCTTTGGCAGAGGAAGTTTGGCCTGGCATCTAGGAACATTTTTTTGTTGTTGTTGTTAAGCTGCTTAGTATGCACATAAAAATGTATCTTATTCCCAGGCTATCTCTTGTTAGAGAATACGGGCAGACATTTTATCAGCCACATAGAGAAGAGGAGAGCTACAAGGCACATAAATTCAAATACTAATCAAAATACATCAAATCCATCCAAAATTCTCCTAGGGGAATGAAATTTACATATGTGCTTAAAGTGTATACAAGCTACTCACCCTCATAGAAAAAGTCAAATCTATCCCTGGTTCAAGTCAGACTCTCCAAAAATATACATACCTCAAGAACATCATTTTGAGCCCAAGTAACATGTTCTATTATTTTTTCTTTGAGAGGATACTATCAGGTTATTTTTAGAGATATTTTAAGTAATATCCCTATGAAAAGTGTGGTCATATAAACTGGATTTTGCTAAGCTGTAGGCCACTATTCTACAAGGTCTCCTCTCTTTGAAGACTAACAGAAATATTTTGTCTGCTCTCAGTACTAAAAATTTAAGAGCTTCTCCTGGACAACAGGCTTGTTTTTAATATTATAGCCATTATTAATATAAATGATCACGTAATTTCTTTACATTGGCAAAGTGAATACTTTTGAAATTTGTCACCCACATTAGGAGCAGACTCTAGAGGATAATGTATTTTTTAAAGAGTTTAATCCTTTTCGTTTTACTTTTACAAATCTATATTTTTATCTTGCACTTACTTTTTCTGTTTCCTTTTTACTAATTTTAAAACTTTTTCTACTTAACTTTGCACAATCTGTTTTTTAATTTAATAAATTTGTAGGACACTTTGTAATACAGTATTTTCTTTATAAATGTACCATATATAAAAGGCCGAAAGCTTCTTTTTTGCTTTGGCAGAGTAACTCACAAGATGAGTTGCTAAATTTAAGAACTCTGGATTACATTACCTGCCACTATTCCAATGAGAGGAATGAGAACTGCAAACACAAGAAGATAAAGGGCAATCAGTGCAGCTTTGAAGGACTTCAGTTTCTCTTGAAGGGAAGCACTGTTTTTAGGATCTAATAAAACACAAAACCCAGCCTATGGTTAGAAAATGTTATCTTGTTCCATAATTAAAACAGTTGTAACTCCAATTATACTGTTACTATCAAGCCTACTGAAATAAAAAAGAGGGAAAATTGGTCCACATTTATCCAATAGAAAGCAAAGGGACAGTTACAGGAAAGGCCAATCCAGGTATCTATCATTGTAGACACTTGAATGACTTATCCACTAACTAAACATCCACAACAAAGTTACCATGATCTACAAGTTGTGCTTGTCTGATTTTTTGTAATTAGTTAAGAAATTTTAATATCGATACTTACATATGCAAACATAAATTTTATCCATTTACTCATCGTTCACATGGGAACATATTCTGGGTGACAATAAAATTTTCTAAAGTAACTATATAATTTTTTAATATTTTAAAATCAGATAGGGCAAATACTTATTTTCAATGACTACGATGTTAAAATAATTTTCTTAATAGTTTTGTATTTGGATATCTCTTATGATTTCAATACAATGTAAACAATATTTAAGAAGAATTAAACAAAGTGATACACATTTTGACTGAACTTTAGAATGGATCAATGATGCCCACACTCTCTATGTTTCAGAACATATTTTAATAATAGTAACCTTTTATTCATATGCATTTATACAGAACTGTGATTTGTATAATGGGATGATAATTGTAACTGTAGTAGAGACGAATCAATGTTGAGGGAAACAGTAGATGACGAAGACCTTTCTCTGATTAGGTGAATACAACAGTCATTAAAAATTTCTTTTCTATGGTCATTGCTTTTATCGATCAATTAAGAAAAAGTAAATTTTGCTTTCAGGTTGCAAATTCTTAAATTAAAAACAAAGGTTAGACATTATTCAATAATATTCTATAAGGGATTGAAAGGAAAAGAGAGAAAAATTCTTAAAAGCAAAGAAAAGAGCTGGCTGGGGTGGCTCTTGCCTGTAATCCCAGCACTTTGGGAGGCTGAGTGGGGAGAATGGTTTGAGCCAGGTGTTTGAGACCAGCCTGAGCAACACGGAGAAACCCTGTCTCTACAAAGAATACAAAATTAGCCAAGCGTGGTGGCATGTGCCTGTAACCCAAGCTACTCAGGAGGCTGAGGTGGGAAAACTGCTTGAGCCTGGAGGTCAAGGCTGCAATGGGCTATGACTGCACCACTGCACTCCAGCCTAAGTGACAAAGTGAGACCCTGTCTCANAAAAAAAAAAAAAAAAAAAAAAAAAAAAAAAAAAAGAAAGAAAGAAAGAAAAAGAGAGAAAGGAAAGGAAAGAAAATATTTAAGGAAAAAAGGAAAAGAACTCATAATAGAAACAAGTTGAGATATATTCCACCTGCCAGGTTGACTAAGCCTGAAAAGTAGCAGTCACCTTCTTCATCTCTAATTTATAATCGCAAATATGAATTCTATCTTTAAATAGCTCTCAAAAATATTGGTTGCTTTTTCTCTTCTCCCAATGTCTCTCTTCTCCTTCCTCAAACTCTCATCATTTCTGTCTGTAACAGCCTTCACTATTATTTGTTTTTATATGTGCCTCACTTCTGCCACATCCTCCCATCCACCCTTTACACAGAGCACAAGATCCACTGTGCCCTGGAGTTGCAATCTATATTTCAGGTTTGCTGTGTAACAGCTTCTATGTGATCCTTTAACTTTGTACATGCTGCTTCTTCAAATTGAAATGTCTTCTCTGTCTTTTCTGCCTCCACCCATCCCCTTAGTGATATGTATTTATGCTTAGAGGTTTACTACAATTACAAGTAATTCTGTCACGACAACTTAAATGCTCCTGTGCAGATACAGCTGAGTATTGCTACTGTTGAGCTGTTGTAACTTTGCAAATGTGTTTCACCACTGGTATATGGATTGAATGGTGTGCCCTCAAAAGATATGTTGAAGTTTTAACTATAGGTACCTGTGAAACTGAGTTTATTTGGAAATAGGGTCTTTGGAGGTATAATCAAGTTAAAATGAAGTTATATTGGAGTAGGGTGAACCCCAATCTAATTACTGATGCCTTTATAAGAAAATAACAAATAGCTACACAGAGAAGAAAAAACATATAAAGAAGGAGGGAGAGATGAGAGTGTGAGGTACAAAGGGAAGGAACACTAAGGATTGCCAGGAGCCACTAGAACTAGGAGGAGGCATGGAAGATTCTTCCCTAGAGCCTTCAAAAGGGCACATGGCCTTCCCGACACCCGCATTTCAGTGTCTCAATCTCAGAACTGTGAGAGAATACATTTCTGTTGTTTTAAGTCTCCTAATTTGTGACTATTTACTACAACTCTAGAAAACTAATACAGGCACCTACCACCTGTGATTTTCAAATATTAATTAATGGGTCATATTTAGCTTGGATCATATTTATCTCCAGGACCTAATATTGTAGCTAGGAAGTCAGAGGGCTCAACTGATATTGTAGATTAATTTAATTTCATGATAATTATGCCTTACTTTAATATAAGCTTATTTTTATTCCACCTCGAGAATATCCCTGTTTGTCAAATACATCTTATTTTAACATCCATATACACTTAAGGTAAGTATTAAGGCTATAATTTTATAGACTGTCAATAACTCTAAGAACAACCTCCATGAGCAGCCCATCGCCTTCTACTTACTGGGAGGAAGCAAAGCTGTCATTGAGTGAGCGTCAAATTTCACAGACTCAGAGCAGCTATCAGTGTCCTCCTGTTGATCACGAAAGCCATCCCACTGCTCCATACTTCTATGAAACAAATGGAAAAACATATTAATTCCACATGAAGTGGTCAGGGCTCTTTTGCATAATGTTTCAAATTGAAATTTCAGTTTGAAATTGAATCTTTATTCTGTGATGCAATCTATAATAAATAAAACTTAATTTTAGCAAAAAGCCCCCCATAATTAAATGTGTATATCTGTCATATACAGCAATGTATTAAACTTACTCATAAGTTTTAACTTCCATGTGAAAAGACAGATTTACGTGGATCCCTCTCATGTATATTTCTATACACAAATGTGTATCTCTATTTGCAGATGTGTGTTTTTTGAGTGTGGGGAAAGAGGTAGCTCTTCTTTCTTAGTTGAAAACTTTTTTACAAGTGACAGAAAATAACTTGTAGAATGATTTTATCAGTAATTTAATAAAGCAAAAGAAAGGAAAAAAGATGGGTCTGAACCTGAATAATCCGATTTGGCTTCTTACAAAAGTCCATTTTTCCAGAAAATTATTTTATTTGCCTCCACCTGAGAAAAGAGGATATGGGCCCTATGCTACCTTCCTCCATCCTCTTCCTTCTCAGTGGTCAAATCTATTGGAAAGGTTTCATAAAAAGAGACTGATTAGCCTCACCCCCCAGAGTTTCTGATATTTGGGGTGGGGGTCTCAAGGACTTGCAATTCCAACAAATTCTCAAGAGGTGATGTAGTTGGTCTGAGGACCACATTTTAAGAACCTTTTTCATAAAAAGAAATTATATGCCTTCTTAAGTTGGACACAGTTCAGTTCATCTGACTGATAAATTTAGCACAAAGCCAACATCTTCTGATCATTTCTTATTTTCTTGAACGGTGAGTAATGCATTTAGCACAGCACAGTTCTAACTGAGTACACTGGCAGCTTCAGGACAGCAAACTCAAATCCAGCCCAGGAAATGAGGGCCAATCATTCAGATGCAAATGTTCCTCCCACTGTGGGGAGAGGCAGTGACATGGAAGGATATGACTCAACTCCTGTCAATATAGTTTGAACCTATCACTAAGGAGATTCTTTACATGGCAGTTTGCAATAACAATCTTTGCATATTCCTCCTCTCTGAGAGTTAGTTTTCATGAATCCTATGTTGTTCTGACAAAGGACTGTGTTCTTTAATGGATTTGACCGCTGCGGAGAAAGGGAATGAAGGGAAGTAGGCATAGAACCCAAATTTTCTCTTTTCTCAGGTAGAAGCAAAGTAAAATAACTAAACAATTATCTGGGAAAATGAACTATTGTAAAAGACAAATTAGATTATTTAGATTCACACTCTTCTCTATTTCCTCCTATTAAATTTACTCTATTAGATTTAAACAGTAGTTTTACTTACCAAGGAAACCAAATCAACAAAAAACCAAAATGTTAACAAAAAGAAACCTGGCTGGGCATAGTGTCTTATACCTGTAATCCTAGCACTCAGGGACGCCAAGGCAGGCAGACTGCCTGAGCTCCAGAGTCAGAGACCAGCCAGGGAAACACAGTGAAACCCCATCTATACTAAAATATAAAAAATTGGCCAGGCATGGCAACAGGTGCCTGTAATCCCAGCTACTTGGGAGCTGAAGCAGGAGAATTGTTTGAATATGGGAGGTGGAGGTCGCAGTGAGCCAAGATCCTGCCACTGTACTCCAGCCTGGGTGACAGAAGGAGACTCCATCTCAAAAAAAAAAAAAAAAAAACAAACCTGAAATGTGACAATAAAACTTAGCAGAATTCACTTTAAAACTATAGTTGAATGATTTATAATCCTTTGGATATATACCCAGTAATGGGATTGCTGGGTCAAATGGTATTTCTGGTTCTAAATCCTTGATGAATTGCCACACTGTCTTCCACAATGGTTGAACTAATTTACACCCCCACCAACAATGTAAAACTTTTCCTATTTCTCCACATCCTCTTCAGCATCTGTTGTTTCTTGACTTTTTAATGATCGCCATTCTTGGAACAAATCCAAATGGCTATCAGTGATAGACTGGATAAAGAAAATGGGGCACGTACACTCCATGAAATACTATGCAGCCATAAAACAGGATGAGTTCACATCCTTTGCAGGGACATGGATGAAGCTGCAAACCATCATTTTTAGCAAACATAGGAAACAAAAAACAAACACTGCATGTTCTTACTCATAAGTGGGAGTTGAACAATAAGAACACATGGACACAGGAAGGGGAACATCAGACACTGGGGCCTGTCAGCAGGTGGGAGGCAAGGAGAGGGATAGCATTAGGAGAAATACCTAATATAGATGGCGGGTTGATTGATGCACCAAACCACCACACATGTGTATACCTATATAACAAACCTACACATTTCTGCACATGTATCTCAGAACTTAAAGTTTAATTTTAAAAAAGTGAAAAATAAACCCTGTAGTTTAAGGCAATTGGAGCTTTGTAAAAATATTTCTTAACTTTGAACTCAGTTTGTAAAAGATGGATTCACAAAAATTGTGTTCATGTATACCTGGTATGTACAGACATGTGTCACTTAAGGACAAAGATATGCTCGGAGAGATGCACTGTCAGGCAATTTCATTGCTGTGTAAACATCACAGAGTGCACTTACCTAAACCTAGATGGTCTAGCCTACTACACACCCAGGCTGTGTGGTCTAGCCTATTGCTCGTAGGCTAAAAACCTATACAGCATGTTACACTATACTGAATCTTGCAGGTAACTGGAACGCAATGGTAAGTATCTGTGTTTCTATCATGTAGCAGTTCGGTCAGGGTGGTAGGAGAATTTATAAGGAAAGAAGCAACCCCTGTGAAAGGTCAGAAGGCTGTGTAAAGCTTCAGACAAGAATAAAGCTGAAGGCAGCTAATTCTCCTACTTTAAGGCTAAAGGCGAGGAGTATGTAACAAAGGAACGTAAATAAATCTATCTAGGTATGTTTATTTATGTTATCCAAAGACGGACCTGTGATCATTCCCCCACAAGACTTCTCCCTGCAAAGGAGGATGACAATGTCAATTACCCATAGACTGTGTTGGCTGCAAGCCTTTGACATTATACCAGCACTGAGTAAATACATGTGGGTCCAGCTTATTGGGTCTGCTCTCTCCAGCAGTCCCCTAGCAACTAGCACGAAAAATACCTGTGACTAAGTTCTCCTTTCATCCATCGCTCAGCCAGTCTGAGGACAGACTCAGTGCCAACCTATCTAAACATAGAGAAATGCAGTAAAAATAGGGTATAAAAAATAAAAAGTTGTACAGCTGTACAGGGCAATTAGGATAAATGAAACTCGCAGAACTAGGAGTTTCTCTGGGTAAGTGAGTGAATGAGTGAGTGGTGAGTGAATGCGAGATACTATAGACTTTATCAACATTGTACACTTAAGCTACACTAAATGTATAACAAAATTTCTTTCTTTAATAAATTAGCCCTAGTTTACAGTAACTTTTTTACTTTATAAACTTCTTTTAAAACCCATTTTTACTCTGTTGTAATAACACTTAGCTTAAACCATAAATTGTATAGCTGTACAAAAATATTTTCTTTCTAAACAGCTTTATCCTGTAAGCTTTTTTAACTTTTTAAAAAATGTCTCCTTCTTCAACTTTTTTGGTTCAAAACTAAGACACAAACACACACATTAGCTTAGGTCTACACAGGGTCAGGCTCATCAATGTCACTGTCTTTCCCTCCATACCTTCTCCCACTGAAAGGTCTTCAGAAGCAATAACAGGCATGGAGCTGTCATCTCCTATGATAACAATTCCTTCTTCCAGAATACCTCCTAGAGAACCTGTCTGAGGCTGTTTTACAGTGGAATCTTTTTATATAAGTAGGAGGAATACACACTAAAATAATGACTAAAAAGTATAATACGGCAAATACATAAACCACTAACATTTGTTACCAAGTATCACATACTTACATAATTGTATGTGCTATACTTGTAAATGACTGACAGAGCAGTAGGCTTGTTTACACCAGCATCACCACAAATATGTGAGTAATGCAATGTGCTACAACCTTAGGACAGCTACAATGTCAACAGGTGATAGAGCTTTTCAACTCCATTATAATCTATGAGACCACCATTGTACATATGGTCCTGTGTTGACTGAAATATTATTACATAGTACATGTCTATAACTAGAAATGGTTTCCTTTCAGGTTACCTACTGGACCCTTCTCCCTATGTTTCATTATGGATTTTATCCTCACATTTGAGATATTCTGGCTCCATTTTTACTGAAATGCAAAAGAGCCATCTCAGATTATTCTATTTACCAGGTAAGAATGTTTATGAAAAAGTTGAAATCTTTCTAATCTGATAAATATCTGTACACAGTGAATTCTGAAAGGGTAGGGACCATGTCTCTTTTTGTCCACATTATGTTGCTAGAGCCGAAAGCAACCTGGAACATGGAATATACTGAATATATATTTGTTGAATGAATGATCTGATTTTTTTTGTCAAATGATAGTTATATATTAGTTTTTGTTTTTGTTTTTTAAATAAGATAGATGCTTGGATAATAGTGAGATGAAAAATGTATGCTTCTTTTGGCACAGAAATTCTTGGCAAATAAGCTTGTCTATAATCCAGATGAGTTTTTTTCTATTCTATATTCTTACTCTTTTGATAGCATACTTGGACCTGAACCAAATCTTAGTTGCTCATTGCAACCTCTGCCTCCCGGATTCAAGCGATTCTCCTGCCTCAGCCTCCTGAGTAGCTGGGATTACAGGCACACACCACCATGCCTGGCTAGTTTTTGTATTTTTAGTGGAGATGAGGTTTCATCATGTTGGCCAGGCTGGTCTCAAACTCCTGACCTCAGGTGATCCATCCACCTCTGCCTCCCAAAGTGCTGGAATTACAGGCGTGAGCCACTGCACCCAGGATTACTCTATTTTAAACTGTGGTTACCTTGAGAAGATTTATTTAAACTCTGAAAAAAGAAAACCCTCTAGTAAATATCTATGAGGTTCAGTATAACTGATGATAATTGGTCTATAAAATGCCCCTGACAG